TTGTCAATTTTATTTTTCAGTCTTTATGATGGTGGATACTTGATCTATCTCTTACTGTTATATCCCCGGGCAACGCCGGGCTCTAGTGCTATTATATATATATATGATAGAAAAACGTTATTTTTTATGAGCTTCTGAAACAGGTAATGTATGTAATTTCATATCTGTACAGTATGTATGTTCCAAAGGTTGACATAACCGGGGAGAGGGTAATGGGAACAAGGCTCCTTCTGTCCATAAAATGATTCCATGACATGCCTCACAAATAGCTACTGGCAACGGTCTAGCACTAAACAGGAAAACGGGTGAAGGCTGACCACTGGCACCTTAGCAGCTCGGGAAGGAAAATTCTGATTTTATCTCTCGGTAGCCTTGCGGCCATATCCGAACATTGAAAAGGCTATGGAAGTAAATCCAGACATAAGATCCGGAATCGAGACCCGAGGGCGGTTGACTGTCAACACTGACAACCTCCGGCAAATCCTACCGTCAAGCCGGCTCCAAATATAATGCCCTGTATCCCTTTGGATATTGTCGGTACGGCCGAGGGTGGAACTATGTTGTATGGGCTGCAGAGGGCTTCCTTATATCATTGCCTAGTAAGGGCACAAAAGAATTGAATTAGAATTACCTTGCGCGATAAAGGATGCCTGAAAAATGATTCACATTGATGTAAAAATGAGGGATATATTTTGCAATTGCTTTCAAATATCAAAAGCATTTACCTGAATTTAATTTTTTTCTGGTTATGCACAATTCTGCTTGAATCGGAATAAACATCCTGAAAGCATTCGGACAATAAAGTTAGTCTGTATGAACCGGGAGCCACCAAAAGATTGGGAGTCACCAAAAGATCTGGAGCCACCAAAGGACCTGGAGCCAAAATGGTCGAGTGTTACCAAAAGATCGTGAGCCACCATATCTTCGGGAGCCACCAAATGTTCGGGAGCAAACAAAAGATTGAGAATCACCAGAAGATCGGGAGCCACCAAAGGATTTGGAGCCAATAAAGGATCGGGGGCCACCAAAGGATCGGGAGCTAACAAAAGATCGCGAGCCATCAAAGAATCGGGAGACACCTAAGGATCGGGAGCCTCCAAAGTATCTGGAGCCAACAAAAGATCGTGAGCCACCAAAAGATCTGGATCCAACCAAGGATCGAGAGCCACCAAAGGATCTGATGCCAACAAAGGATTGGGAGCCACCAAAAGATTGGAAATCACCAAAAGATCAGGAGTCACGAAAATATCGGGAGTCACCATAGGATGTGAAGCCAAGAAAATATCGGTAGTTACCAAAATATCATGAGCCACCATATAATCGGGAGCCATCAAAATATTGGGAGCCACAAAAAGTCCGCGAGTCTCCAAAAACCGGGAGCCACTATAAGATCGAGAGTCAGCAAAATATATGGAACCAACAAAATATCTGGAGCCTCCAAAATTCAGGTGTTACGAAAAGACCGAGTGTCACCAAAATATCTGGAGCCACCAAAAGATGAAGAAGAAAAAACAACTTCATATTTTTAAGAGAATTTAATCATAAAAGGAATAAAAAATGTTTTGTACATTTTGCCGCTCTTCGGACTTATTAGATTACTTTTAACAGTTCATGGGTTCGACGTGGCAAATTAGTGTAGAAGCACTGTCCTATACATTGTTTCTGCTTTCCTTCCCAAGACATGGTGGATGCAGCCGACAAAGGGCCGTTCAGTGGCTCTTCACACGTTATATAGGTTAAAATTATGTCGGCATTAGAAGGCTTAATTTAATGTTGGCCCATAAATAGACTTTTTATCTTTATAACGTTCTACACATTCAAAATAAGGGGCATGATTCAAGTTCCTTTTCAGGTCTCTTCCTTTAAACTGCGTTTTAATTCCAATAGCGGATAGATAATGAATTATGTGAATACTCAAAAATAGAAGGAAGAGTAAGACAACGATAGGTATATAAGAGCGCTTCTTTCATCATTATCTCAAGACGGTCCCAAGAGAACTAGAAAATTAACCACGGTTTATAATCAGCGGGCATAATCGTAGAAACACAAGATTATTATTTGCTAATGGAAGTCTCATAAACAAACCTGTAATAATCTCTGGATAATCAAGTATTAGCTATATGAACACAGTATGCATGGCTGCTAGAAAAAGAGAAAGATAAAAGTCTAGGCCACGCATTGGTCATGTTAAAATTAAGCACGAACTGAGATTCAACAATCTGGAAAAGTTCAATTTAATAGTCAACTTAACATTCGCCATTTCTTGTATCAGAGACAATGTAAAGTTATTGTTTATTTTAATAATTTTAAACAATAGTAACAATTTATTTTAATATTAATTCTAATAGGTTAAGACATGTGTAATATTATTGTCCCTTTAGGCATAAGTAACTCCTTATCAGATAGACTGGGGTGATATATATATATATATATATATATATATATATATATATATATATATATATATATATATATATATATATATATATATTTATTTAAAAAAATTATAACAAATATCTTATAAAATCACGACAAAAATAGCAATTTTGTTTCAACACCACTGGTGTCTTATCAAGTGATGATGTTGAATGTAGATTGTAGAATAAAGGTTTCGCTATACTTGGATATATATATATATATATATATATATATATATATATATATATATGTGTGTGTGTGTGTGTGTGTGTGTGTGTGTGTGTGTGTGTGTGTGTGTGCCTTCAAAGAAAATCTATACTTTTATTTTTAAAAATGAAATAGTCTTTCTTGAATGTTTTTTATTTCAGCCTAATAAATTAAATTTTGCTATTTCTAAGAATCAAAATAATTTGTTGTATTTCAAACTAAGTTTAAATTGATTGGAATTATTTTATTCTCAGTAAAAACGTTAAAATCTGTCAACTCAACGTAGTTCTCTTTATAAAAAAAAGTATATTTAAACGAATTTTAACTACGAAGTAATCTTTAAAATGAAATAAAATGTTATAAATAATCTAATATTTTATTGAATTGCTTACTTAGGGTTTATATTCTAACTTACGAAGAGGCCTGTTGAAGAATTACTTATAAATTTTAACTTTGACATAGTTACCACTCTTATTTTCTGATAATGCCGCATTTGGGCATCCGTATTTACAAAGATCTACACCTTTATATATAGTTTATCCTTTACCTAGCAACTAAAGTACGGAATTTTTCCACAGCATACGTAGTTACCTCCCTTTAAATGGTGTCCGTCACCCAAGCAATGACACAGCGTTCCCGACTCCACGTATGAAAATGGTTATTTTCAGATGATCACAAGAACTTTTGTCCTTCAGTACCATGAACACTAAATACATACCTTACAATTAACAATACTCTTGGTGATGATATTGTACTATGTCGAAAGTACTCGGAAATAAATACAATATGAACCAACACTTTATTCTCGTTATTTAATGATGCAAAAAGCTTCCTTGTGGGAAAATAGTTAATATTAATATTACACTTGCTATATGCTCTTCAAGACAAAGGCGAAAAATTGTACTGTGTTACGAGTGACCATCATCATCATCATCAGTTGCATGACCGGATGTGGTCAAAGAGTTATTGAGTGGGTAAGAATCTGACCAGTTCCCTCTGGGTTGAAAGCCGGAAAGGTATCCATTAGCGTGTCTCGAACAAGAAGACCTGACGGAGCCCATCCCTCTCCAGGTCAAACCATATCCGATGACTTTCATCTTGAAGGCTCACCTTGGTCAGTGACATGTGGCTATTGATTCCATGGGGGAAAACATCTCACCGGCCGCTGAATTAAGTCTAGTCAGCTCTCCGTCCAGAGAGACCATTGTCATCACTCTATAAGACGCCACTCTCATCAACTCTATGAGATCGCCCGCCCTTTAACAAGTCTTGTTTTAATACGGATGGTGTCTAGTCACCCTCTTTACCTGAAAGTCCTGGTAAACAAAACGGTTTTTTCTTCGACGATCCGAGCATACCGGAAGTAGTACTCGGTTACAACGTACCTGCAGCATTCGTAGAGTGAACTGACAGTGGTAGAGAGTTACTCCTGTCTGTAACTGGCTCGAAATCGAAAACAATTTAAATCCAAACTGGACTTTAAGAAATGATTTTTACAAGGACTAGATATTGATTTTTAAATTCCAGAAACCTGCTACCCAGAATTTACCTAGTATCCATTTGAAAGTCGTATCCTATTTCTTTACTAGAAACAACATTTCCCGCTAATCTTCGAACTTCAAAATTAAATCGGATTCTGCCAACCTCTTTCATGCCTTCGGGTTGTGAAGCATTTAGCAAAAAGAAGTCAATCCCAGAGCCCCAGCGTCTCACAGCATCTCGAATGCCTTGTCGCAAAATTCACGCCTTTTCTGCTACCACGAGTCTAGTTACCCATCCGCCGGCAATGCTGATCCGCCATATTGTCATTCAAGACATCTATCAGACCTCTCGACGCCCAAAATCAATATCCAACGCGAAATGACATTCTTGTTCGTTGCCTGTCGAAAAGAGATTTACTAAGAAATTGGGCAGCTGAAGAAGCGGTAGTGGGTCGGAGTGAAATACACTTGGTGGACTTTGGTATCGATGCAATTATATAATTTAACTGTCAAATGATTTTGCGCTTATACAGACAACCGACCTTCATTCCTTCAATAGCTTGCTTCTCCACACACACACACACACACCTGAAAGTGGTCATGGCCGAGGCTTTTCGCTTTGTGAGGTGGTGGAGGAGGAGGAAGTGTTGGAGCTGGTGGAGACGAATATGGAGCGGTTGGCTTAGTGCAAAAGAGCATTTCTCCGGGTGTGCAAGGGAGAGATGCGGAATGGTTCGGAAAGAAGACGAAGAAAAAAAAAAAAGATAGGAATGAAAAGAATGGATGAAATGCAATAATGAAGGAACGAGAGAAAATATGAAGAAAGAAAGTTAAGGAAAACAATGAAAAATGAAGACAATGTAAACGAAGGAATTTAATAAAATAAAGAAAGAATTAGAAAGTAAAATGGGAGAAAGAAAAAACCATGGAAAAAGTGAGAAAAAAGACAAAATGAAGGAGGATGAGGAGGCTGAGTAGAAGAAGAAAAGGAAGAGTAAAAGAAAGGAAAGGAGGATAGACAAAAGTAATGAAGGAGGGGCGGATGTCTACTAGAATGAAGAAGAAGAAAGAAGAAGAAGAAAAAGAAGAAGTGAGTTCGAGGTAAAAAAAAAACAAAAGAAAACAAAAGTAGAAGAAGAAAATTAGAGAGAGTTCGAGGAGAAAAGATAGAAAACTATAGAGGGGGGGATCTCCAAGGGAAGGGCAAAAAAGAAGGTCAATCAAAGAGATAGAAAATCTTGGGAAGTACGTCGAAATTACTATAACGTCATACTACCCGTAAAAAATGACGATTTGCATTAAGATTGGAATTTCTGCCTAGTATTTCAGTAGTTGTGTGCTCACCTTAAGATCAATAAAATCTTTTTTCCTTAAAACGTACTAGTTGCTTAAATTTTCTTTCCCTTCATGACGCAGGTGATCATGGCTCTCGACTACTTCCATTTTTCTTCATTATCTGTGTTTACCTTTGGGTCAATAGAGTGATGTGGCTTAGCGTTACTTTCTCCTTCCATCCGGATACATGTTTTTAGCATTATGTATCATTTCGATTCAGCATTGATTTGACAGAGGAGTTCCCGCAGTAGACTGCCGTTACTTTCTGAGGTATGCTAGTTGCCAACCAAGGCTATTGATTCCAGTCTGTTCTGCGACAAGAATGGGAATTCTGCTCTCCGATTTCTCATTCTGAGTCGTTATCCATCACACCACTTGCCTATCCAAGCTGACAGCACCTGGTGTTCCCAAGCGTTCACCCTTGATCAGGGTCAACATTACTTAACTTATGTGATCGGAGAAGAACCAATGTTTGAACGTTATATGCCTGTAAGTGATTCCTCCACTGTTTTGAATTCAAAAATGTCTTTCTCCTAAATTGGTTACCATCCAAAACTAAAGACCCCATTGTATCCTATTATTTAATCAACATAGATAAAGCTATAGTGTATTGCCTTTCCTAACGGCAATTAACGTTGCGAGTGATTCCAACGCAATTAATAGTGAATGAAGACCTATACTGTTTTAGAAAATATGCTTCTATTCTCTTTAAAAGTTAATTAAAAATCGTTTTTTCTGAGTGTCGTTCAAAAAGTTCTAAGCCTCACCCCAAAAGATTTGGCGGAACAAGACAGTTGGTCAGTATTTTTAATATAGTCCTCTTTGACCTCAATGCATTTGGTCCAACGCTACTTAAGCATTGCAATCCCATCACGGAAAGAGGTTTCGTTCTTGTCTTCTAAAAGCTCCGCCACAGCACATACAATCTCATCATTGTTTCCAAAATGGTGACCTCGCAGCTGCGATTTACGTTTTGGAAACATGAAGAAGTCAGATGGAGCTAAGTTTGGCGAGTAAGGGAGATGGAGTAGCAAATTCAAAGACACAGTCGGCTGGTTCAGCTACTGTAACCTGAGCATTATGAACGATCACGCTATCCTAGAGCGAGAGGACACTTGTAATCAGCTTCCTTCCGCATTTCGACTTGATTGTTTCTTTCACTTGTCCTCATTCTGAAGCATACTGGTGTCCATTAATAGATTTTTTTTCCTTTTTCCAGTCTATCAGGATTACGCCTTCAGAATATTAAAAAAAAATAACAGAAGCCATCACATTGCAAACATACGCTGCCTGTTTTAACTTATTCGTGTCTAAAATAAACCCAAAGAGTTTCTATTGTTTGCTTTGAACTTTTGATTTAGCTTCGAATTCGTGAATCTAGGTTTCATCTTGAGTTAACTAATCTGGGAGTTATTAACTAATCTTGAGTTATCTCAGGGTCAGGCTGGAGGCGAGTCAGAAATCACTTGGAAATGTCAATCCTTTTTAGCTTGGGACTCATCATGTAGACAGCTTGCTCATTCCCTCAGTTACGAACTGAACCAGAACTAATGCCTATGGAATTAGCGATCTGCTGCATAGTAAGATGCCTGTCATCCAAAACCAACAATGTCATCAACTTGTTTATCAGTAGTTGAGGATTTTGCATGCGTAGCCCTTTTTATCCGCGGGTTCAACCGTTGAGATCTGTTGTAATCGTCATCCGCTTGTTCCACCGTTCGGGTCTTTGGGATGGATCACGCTTAGTTTGGGTCCTCGTCTTCGTCATTGCCGCCAAAGGTGGCTCTGCAGGGAGTTTAGAACTCACCACATGCTTTTCCTACAATTTCGAAGATTAGGTCCTCTTCCATAAAAAGTAGATCGGTTAGGCTTCAATATTATAGAGTAGAATTATTCATGGCAATGCATAAGTAATTTGACAAAAAATGTTCTGAATATGATAATTCTTAATGATAATAGACATTCACATTAAACTAAACTTTCTAAAACAATTTAAAAATAAACTTAAAAACAAAAAAAAATATGTATTTTAATAATTAAATCCACTCAGAGCCATTTGAACACACAAGCCACCACAACAAGGAGCGACTATTAGAGATACGCATATAGAAACATACATGCATAGACACATATATTTTACACTGGACATCGGACTAAACAGTTCTTAAGAAAATGTTATTTTAATAACAATAATAGAAACAAAACAATAAATAGAATAGAATTAAAAGTATAAAATCATCATCAAATATATGAGAACATATTTTTACAGTCAATAAAAAAGAAAAGGTTAAAGTAATAAAATTATCGCCAAATGTTAAAAATGATTGCAAGATAAATGATAGGGAAAGACATCAAAAACACTGAACAAATATTCAAAGATAAGTAAAGCACGCATTACAATTCGAGATGCTTTTCCTACAATTTCGAAAGATTACATCCTCTTTCATAAAAAGTAGAACTGTTAGGCTTGAATGTTATGGAATAGAATTATACATGGCAATTTATAAGTAATTTAACTAAAAATGTTCTTAATATAATAATTCTATAATAGATATTCACAATATACTAAACTTTCTAAAACAATTTAAAAATAATCTTAAAAACAAAAAAAAACAAATATGTATAAAAGCGTAATAATATAATAAAAAATAAGAATAAAGAAAAATACAAGATAAAACGGATAATTAAAATGATTATTTCAGATTCCCCTTTTAAAATACAACATCGCTTTCCTTGAGCAATGAAATAATACGCCCGTTCCTCCCTCGACATCCAGAGTCTATCTTCGTCCAAATATCTATCTATCTATCTATCTATCTATCTATCTATCTATCTATCTGTATATATATATATATATATATATATATATATATATATATATATATATATATAGATAGATAGATAGATAGAGAGAGAGAGAGAGAGAGAATGAATGTGTGTGTGTGTGTGTGTGTGTGTGTGTGTTGGGAGAGGGATCATTATTCAAACATATATTGTCAAGACAACGAATATCTAGTATGTTTGATCATGAGCCGTTCTAAACTTTGTATAGTCCTTTAATTTCGAGGGGAAAATAAAGACAAAAACTGTTCAAAAATTGGATATTTACTTCTCCCGAAAATAAAGACACTAGACGAAGGGCTCATGATCAAACATAATAAACATTCGTTGTCTTTTATATTTAAAAATATATTTTTGAATAATGATCTGCCCCCCAGTACACACACACACACACACACACACACATATATATATATATATATATATATATATATATATATATATATATATATATATATATATATATATTGATTTATCAAACATATATTGTCAAATCTATAGACATGAATATGACAAAAACTGTTCAAATTGGATATTCACTTTATAATCAAACATAAAAACATTCGTAATTTAAAATTATATTTACCGCTCTTAAAGTCACACAAACATTTCATATAAAATATGTTTATACGTTAAATCTTGGACATGATTCAGGTCTGTTTAAATAAACAGTAGTTAATACTCTTAAAGTCTTTTATTATAAACAAATGAGAATTTTATTATAAACAGAAATTTACTTAATATGTGTATCTATAGAAATAGTGTATAAACCGAAAATATACTAAAATAATTGTCGGACTTATTGCACTTCATAATATATATATATATATATATATATATATATATATATATATATATATATATATATGTAATTTTTTTTAATTTTAAGATTGTCATGTCTAATGTACCACGGAATATAATAAGTATTGCATCTTAGATCATAATAATTAAATATATAAAATAGTGATTACATCTACAAGAGGCACCTTTAAGAAAGTCTTAAAATATACAAAAACAATTTTAAAAAAATAAAATGCCAAAATTAAGGCATTGTTCGAAAAATATACCTCTATGTATTATTTCATTGAATTTTCTGAATATGTTCTTAACGGATAACAATGGTGACATGTTTTATAAACGACGGCTCATCTAGACAAGCATAAATTACATACACAAACCAAAACTCTGTCTTGGAATTCGTCAAATAAGACATGACCAATAAAAATATTTTGAAATCTTATCCCCCCTTCTACTTAAAGCTTTCAATGTAATACTACTTAGCTTTCAAAAGTAATTCATTTTTTCTGAAGTTATTGAATATTCCTTGAAAATGTAATAAATAATTTTAAGTTCGAAACATTGAAATTTCTGTGTCGCGATTAAAAACTATTTTAAATAATAATATTATAATATATATATATATATATATATATATATATATATATATATATATATATATATATATATATATATATATATATGTATATATATGTATGTATATATATATATATATATATATATATATATATATATATATATATATATATATATATATATATATATATATATATATACATACATATATATATATACACATATATATATATACATACATATATATATATATATATATATATATATATATATATATATATATATATATATATATATATATATATATAATTGTTATTTATAAAAAATTATAACATAAGTATGTTATAAAATCACTACAAAAATAGCCATTTTGTTTCAACACCTTCGGTGTCTTATCAAGTGATGATGTTGAAGATAATATATATATATATATATATATATATATATATATATATATATATATATATATATATTTTCACTATTTTACTTGTTCGCCATGTGAATAATAAAGCGAGTATTTTAAAAGTATAATAAAAAAAATGTGCTTTGAATTGTAGTTACTAAATAACATGAGAACGAATGCGTCGAACAAGAACAAATGACCTCCTCCCGAGTGGAATGTAATGTGCTGAGATGAAGCAGGGAAATGGATTAGCATGAAAAGTGACAAGACAATGTACAGTAATG